TTTTTTTTTTTTTTTCCAGAAATATACTTACTTCTCCCTTTTATTTCAAAAACATATACTTTGGCCAATTACTCTACTGAGTTATTTGCAATTTTATAGAAGTACAAAGATTTGTTACAATTAATCATCCAATGCTGGTTATTTGTTTTAACTAATTAACATTTTAGAAAGAATTAACACTAAAATTCTAAAAATACACTTTAAAATCAACAAGTCGTTGCTAAATTACAAGATTAAAGCTGGCAATGATTGGGCTAGTTACTATTTCTATTTTTAGTGGAACATAATGTATATTAAATGTACAAATCTTAACAGTACAATTTAATAAACTCACATACACATATAGTCAATAACTACCATTCAGATCAGATACAAATTATTTCTAATGTGGGTTAACTAAGTTTCATAAACATATTCTGGCCAAAATTTGATGTTGATCCCCTGCTTGGAATCAAATCTTGCTCACAGGCAAGTGATAAGGCAGAGAACGCAGATGCTTAGAGAAACCCAGTAAGTCTAGAACAGTACTGGGGAAACAGGCATTAAGATACTGTGCCCATGACAAAGACACTTTGAAGAGGAGGACGCAGAAAGTCAAGGAGACTCATTTCTCCATCGCCCTCAAGTTCTGGCAGTAAGAATCCTCCTTCTTTTAGCACCTGAGTTCTTCCCAGTGATCTGCCCATCTGCCTCCTGTCTGACCCCCTTGCACTGGGAATGGAGATAGAGGGACACACCTCCGTTTTGAAAAACCATGGTGGCCTCCCAGAGTCTGGAGTTATAAAAAATAATTTATTCAGTGGGAAAAAAAAGAAAAACATTCAGTTTTTGATTTAAAGAACCTTTTCTTTCAAGACAGGCAGAAACACAGAATGAAATTTCTTTATAGCCATTATTATTGATATTTTAAAGTCACTTAATTACACACTGACACTAACTAGAGAATGCATACTATTAAGGGATAGGAAGCCTTTCTTCCTGACGTGCAAGAACACACACACAGAAAAATACTGCTTGTGTTTATTTTAGATCAGAAAAACATTCCTCAAAATTTAACATGTTTTACCTGTTTAAATGCTAACAGATCTGTAAGGTCCTCAAGTTAAAATTCTACCCCATCAGTGTTCCCTCGTACTGTCCAGTGGCTCTCCTCTTATAACATGCTTGAGGCTTTATCTTCCAAACTGCATGATGGGCCCCTTGAGGGAGCCCATATAAAGGGTCTGGTTTACATGTGATTTTCTCACAATGCCTAACCTGCAATCTTGTGAAAAGCAGGCATCTGATGGCAAATGAATAATCTCAGTCCTGGAAGATGGGTGCAAATAGACTTACATTCTTCAAACATTATAATTTGGCAGGCATTTGAACTATGCTCAGTATTTTGGGGATAAGTGAATATTTATAAATTAGACACACAATACAAATATCTGTGAAAGAGTAAGGTGTATGTGTGTGTTTTGTTGTTATCAAATGAAAACTCCGAGGCTCCAAATCCTCTGCAAAGTACTCTAAGTGGATCAAGCCCTTTGGATTTGTTTGTCTTCAGACTCAGGAGCAGAAGGCAACCTGCCGAGTGCTAATACTAAACAACCAGGCACATCTGCTCACTGTCTTCCATTTGCATAGTGCAAATAGCAGAGGGATTAGCCATCAGCGCATACTTCACAAAATCAGGAAAAAGTGACAGGGATCATTCTCGTAGTTTAAAGAAAACAAAACTTAAACTGCAAAACAGTTTTAAAATTCATATTAGCACTAGATTGCTCCTATTTCTTGAGACACAGTGTATGAGCCAGTGAGCCAACATGGAGGGCAGGAACTAGTGAGCATTGGCCTCTAACCTAAATAATTCAAATAATGTATTTTTTTTTCCTACCAAATACCATATGTTCTCTTCATTCTATTTCCTACCTGGGCTTAGAACTTGCCAGGTTGAAAAAGCCAGCTTAGCAGAATTTGCTAAGTTTCTACATTCCTTGGGTAGGGAAGAAAGCACAGTGGCCAACTCCACATCTTAATTCTCTCCTACCAGGCTGCTTGTGAGCATCCAACCCAGTGTACTCAGTGGGCTAGGGCTGTTCCTTTTGAGATACCAAATGCTGGTGTCACTAGTGGTTGTCACAGTGATGGAAATATGTCTGGCATCTAATGGTTGGGAGCCAGGAGACAATGTAAGACGTCCTGCAATACCAAAGAGCATCTCTTATATTGTAAGCAGGCTGCCCCCACTTTGGACTGGTGCAGCACTCACACCATCTCATGCCCCTCTCTTGCACAGGCTCAGGATGCTTACCAAGTAAGGATCCTGGCCTCGAAGTGAGTCACTTTTTAACTTTCCAAACTTCTCAAGTTGACATGATGTATCAACCATAACAGTGGGGTTGTTTGAAACAATGTATAAACAATACAAAATGATTGGAGAACACTTTCTAGCTCAATAAAAGCCTAAACCTTTTCTGTTGTTTACTACCTAAGAAAACACATAGTAAATATTAATGCACTGAAAGAATTAATGAAACATTTACAATGGCTAGCGTTTAGCATCTACTATATACCAGACTGTGTGCTAACAGCATACTTGTATCATCAGGGATAGTCTTTACATAACCCACTGAGGTAAATTTATTAGTACTCTTATTGTTTTGAATGTGGAAACTGAAGAAAAAATTAGATAACTTTCTCTACTGTGACAAAGCTAGCAATTGGTGCAATCACCTACTCTGGAGACTGAATTTTAAGTCATTCTGCTTCATATTACACATGTTAAATTTTTACTATAGTTCTGGTAATGAACAAGAAGTGAATCCGATAAGCCAGGGGAACAATGGTGGACAGATCGAGGAAGTGGTGAAGATTTTGAAACAAGAGGAGCTAAGAAGTAGCACTCTGTAGAGAGACAAGCAAGGTATGTGACCTTCTCACTGTCCCACCAAACCTGGGTGGGAAATCAGCAATGCATTTTAACACTGACAAGCTTTCCCTCATTCACTCTTTGATATCTG